ACACACACACACACACACACACACACACACACACACACACACACCAAGAGTACAGTCACTTCCTGTTATTTTCTCTCCTCAAACCCCTAAATAAATCCAACATTCTCCCCTACTGGAAACTGCACTGGCTTCCTACACTTTCCCTACTGGTCTCCTGCCCTTCACCTCTCGATTCTGCACAGCATCAACAGATGCTGCTAAGACAAATAGTACTACGTGGACCATCTGATCTAAACCATCCGGTGACTCCACATGTCACTCAGAGAAAACTCAAAAGCCTGCTAATCCTAAGGCCTAGATATCTGACCGCATTTACATGCTCTCTGCTCCAGCCACAGTGGCCTCTCACCCTTCCTTGAACAAGGACATGCTCCTGCCCTAGTGTGTGTGCCTGGAGGTTCCCCTGCCTGGAAAGAACTCCCTGAGACATGCTCTTCAACAATTCCTTGTGTCCTGCACATCTCTCAGAGATCACCTTCCCAGTGAGGCTCACACTTACCACCATAGAAAAGTAGCCACCTTCCCTGTCCCCGCACAAGTAACTCTCCGGATCACCTTCCTCAAAGCACCTACCAAATTCCAATTTATTTTTGTATTTTTTATTTTTTTAATGTTTATTTATATTTGAGACAAGGGAGACAGAGCACAAGTGGGGGAGGGGCAGAGAGAGAGGGAGGCACAGAATCTGAAATAGGCTCCAGGCTCTGAGCTGTCAGCACAGAGCCCCATGTGGGGCTCGAACCCATGAACCATGAGATCATGACCTGAGCTGAAGTCAGAGGCTTAACAGACTGAGCCACCCAGGTGCCCCAACCAATTTCCAATGTAAACACTTTCCTTATTTACCACATTTATACAGTATACACTTGACTCTGAATTACACTGGTTTGAACTGGGCACATCCACTGATATGTGGACTTTTTTACAATAAGTGCTGTCAATGCAGTTTCTCTTATGGTTTCTTACTATTTTCTCCAGCTTAATTTATTATAAGAATACATGTTACATATCCATGTAACATACAAACCATGTGTTAAATGACTGTTCCTGTTTTCAGTAAGGCTTCTTATCAACAATACGTTATGGTGGTAGTATTTAAGTTTCAGAGGAGTCAAAAGTTACATTTGGATTTCTGACTCCTCAAAGGGGTCATTGCCCTCAGTCCCCACTTTGTTCCAGGGTCAAGTGGAGTCTGTCACTCACCCCTAGGACATATTCTCCACAAGACCAGCACGTTTGCCTCTTCTTACTAACTGAGGTGTCCTAGATGAAAAAACAGCGGGTCCTGCACGTGGCACACGACATTATCAGTGGAAAGAGTGGTCAGCAGAGAGGACCTCTGTCTTCTGGATGAGCCTCAGGCACAGCCAGTTCGTGGCAGCTCCTGCATAAAGTGCCCCCACCTCACCATCAGTGTCGTCTCTACTTTCCCCCAGGGCTGCCCCTCCCTCTCTCTGCTCAGCTCCCCCCTCCCACACAGTTACAGTCCTATCTTCAGAATCACTGTACATAGGTTTATGGGGCCCTTTCTCCAACCAAATAGAAATCTACATTAGACCCTGCTTTATACATCCATGAACTTGGATGTGAACCAGCACCAGCATCACTGGAACTAAGGGCAGGAAGAGAGGGCAGAAAGGCAAGGAAGGTAGAAACTAACGGAAGTTGAAAAAGGATAAGAAACTCTCAGATTCCTCTCTGTCTAAATCAGGATGTAAAGAATAATCCAGAACACAACTCTAGAGGGAGGAGATGGATGAATCTGAAAATCCATCTCTGCAAACCCCAGAGACTCCTGTGTGCAGGGCCCATCTAGGCCTGTGGGAACGACAGTCCAAAGAACTCTTGGTGCTACAGCCACCGGGGTCATCCGGGGAGAATGAGACAGGAACTCAGACACAAGAGCAGAACAGGTCTGATGCTCCACAGAAACAAGGGGGAAAAAACAACCCAAAAGAGGGGGCTGAGGTCACAACCCAGGAGGGAGCCTAGGCTGACCCAGACACAGGAAGCTCTTGCTGCACAAGCTCCTGGTGACAGGTGACATGCAAGCCCCTATGATCTCAGGTCCTGGTGAGACAAGGTTCCACAGAAGGGACGAGGACAAGGAGCAGAGACATGACCCAGCTGAGGAGGGAGCACGTCACACTAATTATGCACTGAGCACCGACTGGACACAGGCCCCGTCCACGCTCCGCTCCTCCAGCCCTCTCCTGTCCGCACCTGCAACAGACACAGTACAGGAACAGCGGGGTCTGGAAGGTTCTCAGGGCTTTCATTTATTTTCTCTTCCAACCATACAAATCCTCTCTTTTATTACCTCATCATGCCCACATACTAAGAATTACAAAACACAAATTCCTATCAGGATTCTCATTTTCAGTAGGGAAGTAAGGCGTCAGTACTCAGTCCAACATGAAGTAAAGACAAGAATGGAGACAGAACATGAATCAGTATGGGAGGGGTCATGGTGGGCATGGGGGACAGTCTCCTGAGTCCTCACGATATGCTTATAGGAATGCAGACACATTCTGACACCATCTGCAGGAATTCAGGGGATCTCGATGTCACTAAGTGGGGGTGTGAACAGATCATGCATCGCTCAGTGCCCCACAGGCAGCGGGTCTCACACTGTGAAAAAAAATCATCATGAACACATTTAGGTCAGTCACATAAGTGCCACATTTCAACAGCCCCCCTCATGCTCGAAGTGACCCTAGTGCCTCCACTCCTCCCCACTTCACCCTGCATAGTCTTACACTTAGGAGCCATTAGAGATGAATCAGAGCCCTGAGTGCTGTCATCGCCTGGGGTAGAACAAACAAGATGAGATCAGAGCCACAGGAGCTGAGACTAAAGGAGCAGCTATGGGCAGGGGGATGGGGGTGAGCTCCCCATGGGGTCCTGTCTACACTATTCCAGGTTTCAGGGATCACCTCCTCCATACTTATGTGCAGCATGAAAGTAGCTTGGTCCTTTTCCTCCTGTGGAAGAAAACAGCATGTTAGACACCTGGGACAGATGGGCCATGGGATCCTAGAGCAACCTCCTAGTCCTACTCCAAAATGAAGTTTCCAGAGTTCTGACTGAACACATAGGACAGAATTGGGACACATGAAGAAAGAGGTGTGGGGTCACAGGACCACCTGACTTGCTGGAGGTCTGACCTCAGCAGGGACCTTCCTCTGTCCTGTCACTGCTGGGAATCATGTACCCATCACCAGAATTACCAAGTGAAAATCTGTTCTTCATTTTCACAAGTGCTTTGCTACAGAGTGAATGTTAGTAACGGCTCCAGAGTGGGCAGCTACATGTGTGTGGATGGAACTTCCCAGGAACCAGGCAGGACAATGTGCTACCTAGGAAACCCCCCAGCAGGACAAGTGAACTCAGATCCCCCCACTCTATTCCTACCTGAGAACTTCTTCCTCCAGATCACAGCTCCAACCACCACAGTGACCACAAGGACAACCACAGCAACAATGATGCCCAGGATGGGGATGGAGGGCTGAGAGGATGGCTCTGGAAAGGGAAGGAAGGTGAGGGGCAGAGACATCCAGCTTCAGTCATGACTCTGTGAAATTCTCCAGAAGGGCCCTGCGTTCCCTGACAGGGGCTCGACCCCAAACCCTCCTTACCCCATCTCAAGGTGATGGGCTCGGGCAGCCCCTCGTGCTGCACATGGCACGTGTATCTCTGCTCCTCTCCAGAAGGCACCACCACAGCCGCCCACTTCTGGAAGTTCCCATCTCCCGCAGGCCTGGTCTCCACAAGCTCTGTGTCCTGGGTGTGGTCCTCCCCATCACGCTGCCAGGTCAGGGTGATCTCCGCAGGGTAGAAGCCCAGGGCCCAGCACCTCAGGGTCACCTCACGGTCAGAGATGGGGTGGCGGGTCACGCGTGTTTTGGGAGATTCTGAGGAAGAAGAAACAGAGAATCCATACTGTGGTTTAACTTTATGGGTCACTGAAACTGCATCCACGTGACCATCCTGAGGTGGACAGGACCACTGGTCTGGATGGAAGAAGCACAAAACCCAGAGAGAAGTCTAGCCTTTGGGATCTCCTGATCCTTGTTAAGTTCTGGAATCAGGGAGAGAAGCCCAGGTAGGAAGCTGCTGGTCTAAGGGGGAACACACTGTGGTCCTGAGTGTGGTGGAGGGTGAATGACTCAGAAAACCCAGACTCAGATCTCCAAACATGTTCTCAGGGAGAACAAGGCCTTGAGAGGGAAGGTCAGGGTTCACAAGGTGGCTGCCAGGGTCAGAGGGAACTGCTGATGGGTTATTTCAGGGATGTCTCAACCTGCACCCCAGGGAGAGACTGGATTCCTGTCTCTCTTTTAGAGAAAAGCACCCTCAAGGTGAGTCAGTCTCTAGTAGGCATATGAACTCCGAGGGGGATCTCCCTCTTCCCACCCGTGGGAGGGGCGCTATTGTGACACTGAGTCCATTTTCCCTTCCTCGTGGGCAACCAGCCCAGTGGAGGGGAGATCAAGGAGGCTCCGCGGTCCCAGTACCTGCGCGCAGCAGCGTCTCCTTCCCGTTTTCCAGGTACTTGAGGAGCCACTCCACGCACGTGCCCTCCAGGTAGTTCTTCCAGTCCTTCGCTGCACTGTCCACCTCCCACTTGCGGCGGGTGATGTGCGCCGCGGTGTCCGCCACGGTCCAGGAGCGCAGGTCCTCGTTCAGGGCGATGTAATCCACGCCATCGTAGGCCCACTGAGTGTACCCGCGGAGAAGGAGTCCGTCAGGCCCCAAGTCACAGCCATATGTCCACTGGATGTTGTGCGACCCTGTCCCCGCCCCGCCCCCAGAGCAGCAGTGATTAAGATGAAACCGAAAGTAAACCCGCCTAAAAGCTCCCTCGGGCTCTCCCAGGGGTCTTGGGACGGGCGACCCCGGCCCGTCCTTGGGGATGGGGATCGTGACCTGGACCCGGCCCGTGTCTCTCACCGGACTCGCTCTGGTTGTAGTAGCGGAGCATCGTGTTCAGGTTCACTCGGGAATTCCGTGCGTTGTTCTTCTCGTTCCGCGTCTCCTGGTCCCAATACTCCGGCCCCTCCAGCTCCACCCACGGGGCCCGCGGCTCCATCCTCGGATTCGGGGCGTCGCTGTCGAACCGCACGAACTGCGTGTCGTCCACGTAGCCCACGGAGATGAAGCGGGGCTCCCCGAGGCCGGGCCGGGACACCGCGGTGTAGAAATACCTGAGGGAGTGGGAGCCTGCGGGCGCGGAGGGGCTGAGACCCCGCCCGACCCTCCTCCCCGCGCGGGACTCGGGTCCCAGGGGGGAGTCGGCCGGGAGGGCAGGGGGAGGAGGACCAGAGTAGGGGAGAGCAGGACGGAGTCCGGGTGGGACGGGGGAGGGGAGGCCCGGGTGGAGGTCTGGGTCCGGGCGGTGGACAGTCGCCTTCCCCGGGGGTTCCGCTTCCCCGCCGGGCGGTTTCTTCGCTCCTGCCCCCCAGAGTCCTTTTCCTCCCGACCCCGCCCTCACCCGCCCAGGTCTGGGTCACGGCCAGGGCCCCCAACAGCAGCAGGAGCAGAGTTGGAGGCATCATGACCCGCATCCTCGGGGTCTGGGGAGAAATGTCAGCCTCAGGAAGCGGGCGCTGAAACTTGATACCCCGGAACCGCGGTGCCGCTGATTGGCTCCTCCGGAAACTGGACACTAATAGGAGTGTGAACCGAGGCCGCGTCATCAGTATCCAGGCAGAAGGACCTGACACAGGTTGTGACAGGGAGAAGTGAAACCAGGGCAGATGGGGACTCCCCAACACTGGGCTTCCCCGCCCCCGAC